CCGGCTGGTAGTGGTTAATGAGGCAAAATTCCCTAATTTTGTGGTACACTTTTCTCAGAATGTATAGGATGAAATATCTTGAGCAGCATATTTTTAAAAAAGGGTGTACCCCGATTTAAAATATTACAAGAAAACAAAGTGGAATCAGGAATATATGTTTTATTATTAGAGAATGTGTTACATGAACAGAATCCAACTTAATTACTGCTTTGATATTGTGCCGGCCGTAACGCGCACTGAACCAGCTCTGAGCTTAAGTTGCACATCCCTGGGTAAATGGTCCCTGGTCCAATCATCAAGTGAAATTTTGCCCAGTGCATTCAGCAACAGTTTACATGTACATGACCCAGCGGCAAGCTGAGTGAAACTGGTCTAACTCCCTTCCTCCCAACCAGTTGTATCATCTACTTTGGGTTCCAACAGAGCCCCCTGGCATGTCAGGTGACATGTTCTCAGCCAATCAAGATGAAGCATCTGTGAGTGAGGAGTTATTGAGTACCAAAGTGAATACGTCATGTGCACAATTATGTGCGTAAAAGGCATTAGCGCAAGAACCAGGGCACGAACCAACATGCGTGCCCATACTCCATTCGTTTTCCTGGTTTAACATGACGTCACACTTCGGCACTCTATCATGCAGTACATGTAGGGACTAAGGGATAACTTCAGAGAGGGTTTACATTTTGGCCCAGCACAAGCCACTCACCATGGAGGAATCATACAGGATGTCAGCCCTCAACCCACTAGCCCAGAGATCTCGGACGACCTTGATCCGATCCTTGTAAGACGAGCCACTACCAATGGTACAGACAAGGACGTCACATACACTGGGAGTCTGGCAGAGAGATGCACAGACAAGTCTATCAAATACTACTGCAAGATTATATAAGATTATATTGAGAAGATCTTGCTCATTGAAAAGTTGACTCTCATCCAGAAAGTGAATGTGGATGTTAATTTGACACTGTTGCATTGCTTTTGATCAGCTAGGCTTACTTGAATGGGTGTACTCATGGGAAATCACCAAAGCCATAGCCAAGACATACTTGATTCCTGCGCAGCCTTAGTCTCAATTTTCATCTTGTCCAATCTGACTTTGGTATGCAGCCCAATTTATGGACTTATCTGAGAACAGGCCATGACCGTGGTGGCAACGCACTCCCCATGTCACTATCGTTCTTTATTTATTATCACACGAGTTCAAGTGGAACACAGAATAATGTAATGTGTCTGTGTCCTGTATACCACCAGGCCAAAGTGTTGCACGAGGGCATGCATGATAACAAATATAATCCTCAAGCAAACTGGAAGCACAACACAGTCTCAGTATATGTCACACTGTTTGTTGCTACAGATCGACCAATCAGAATTGAGAATTCGAGTTTGCCTAAAGATAAAAACACGAGACATGCATTTTGGTCAGCCACAACACCCTACAGTTGAGGAGGTCATGAACGAGCAGGAATGTCCAATGCACAAGTGTGGTATTACTTAAAGGAATGGTTTCAAGTTCTGGTTGCTGTATTAGTCCATGTCACGAGATCTAGTGTCAAAACACTAGTGTGAGGAAGCTTTGAAACAGGTTGAAAAAAGCTGGAGCAGTCTGCTAAACACCTGATTCTAAAGGCAAACTCAGAACATACCGTCTCAGACATGCAAGTATCTTGAAGCACGGCGGATACTATCTTCTCAAACGACACGCTGATTCCGACAGCTGACGGGCATGTCTGATGTGGCTGAGAAGACGGCTTCTTGAATAACTGAATCTGAAGGGCAGAGGGAGGTCATAAATACCACCAGCTGCCACCATATTTCACAGCGGGCGACAACTGAATGTGATGAGGGCAAATGGCATGTACCCTGACATTTTACAATTACACACAAGATGGACACCAGCTGAGTGTACCAACGCAACACAAAGTCCTCCACAATGACAATAGCTCTCTACAGGAAAATCAATGGCATGACAAGGATGCACGCAACCATGCCAGTCAATCCGTGATGTTATACTTAACAAGACCATGAATTGGCCAGAGGACCATCTTAGCTCAATATCTTTGAAAATATGGCTCAGGTTTTGTAAACACTGTGTTCATTTCTCTACTATGCTGTTTGTCCAATCTCGATGTGAAAAGTCCCATAGGAAACCACTATCTTTCATTTCCACTGTGCATAAGGACCTCCAGAAGAACATGTTGCTTAACAAATTTATAGGCTTAACAACATAGGAGGGGAACCAGTTATAAGATACACTTTAAGTGCCATTTTAGTTGGTAACCTGTCTTTGCTCATCATGAATTTTCGGAGCTAAACAATATTATGAAATTATTCCTTGGCAATGAGGGCCCAACTTCACTCAACAGCTTAGAACAAATGAACAATTTCATCAGAAATAAATAAGTACTTAGGAAATTTAGATCAGAACAACTACCGGGCTGAAAACCACTCACAAGCTTGAGTGTCACTTGATATTTCTGTTTATAGCCAATTTTGCTAAGTTATTTCCCGCTCTAAGCAAAGGTACATGTCTTGGTGAAGATTGACTGATGATAAAGTGTTTACCAGGTGATCATATCTGCCGCCTGCAGCCAGCACGTCCATAGCCGTCTTCTTCTTTCGGTGCACAGATTCAGCCACAAACTGAAAGATTACCCCAGAAAAACAGTGGATGTTGTAGACCAAGCTCAGGGTGACTATCATCTGGGAAATGACAATAAAACACATGAAAGTGTCAGTTCTTGACTCCTGGAAATATGCCCCTAACAAGAATCAGCGTTGGCAATGGTTAGAAAGCAGGATTAGAGCGAAAATGGTCCACTTGTGAATAATTTTTGGATTTGTTAGAGAGCCAAGTTCCATAACAAAATGCTGGAATTTACAATCATTTCCATCTCAGCAAGAAGGAAAACCATTCAAGTCAATATATTCACCTAGAGAAGTTTCTTTTTCTTCACTAATTTATTTGATTTTATCACCAGGATCAAAACGAATGTCTGTCTGAATAATGAGGTACATCTTTAGTCAAGGAAAAAAAATGCAAACAAGCAAAGGTTCCAAGCCTGCACATAAATAGAGTTTCAACTTCCTTTTCATGGCAAGCTGGGTTTTTTTTTTCCCCCGGATGTAAAAACTGAAAAAGGTTCTTGTCCCCGTGACCTATTTTACCAGGGTTTGGAGAATTGTGATCCAAACCAGACCAAATCATTAAATATGCAAGACGGGCAAAACAACTATAAGTCAAGGCCCAGCTAAATTTATTTAGAAACCAGATTAAAAGTCAACATCTAAAGTTTTTCTTCTTTGATGTTTATGGATTTTCTCTTACACCCTAGACTTACCGGGAATCCCTTAGGCTTCTCAGTGTCAATCATTTTATTTACCATTTGACCCAAGGGCACGAGCACTTCACGTACACGTATGCAAGTATAATTTTGAATATATATGCACAAAGAATGCCAGGAAAGCCACACAAGACTAAGGGTTCCCTAATGTCACCGAAGAATACTATACAATCACCGAGGTTGCAAAGCTGTGAGAGTCTAATGAACCTTAAACTCCATACAAGTATTTGGTAGGTCCAGGGTTACTTTGTGATCTTTGCGAATACCAAGGGGAAGTCTCTCAGGGAAAATGTAGTTTCTTTACAGCCAGGGCCGGCAAGTTGAGAAACTGGCACCTCTCCAACACTTCCGACTTCCTTGGATTCCCAAAACAATTGCCAGGTTTTTATCTGTAAAACAACTGCAGCTCACTCCATAAAAGATTACGCTGTGCAGAGCAGAGCAGCTCACTCTCCATCAATTTGCATCTTGTACAATAAGCGTTTCAGGGAAAGCAAGTGTGCCTTGCTAGAACATTGAAGAGGCAAGTGCCCTTTTGACATGAGCCCTGCTGGACCTCCTGTTATTTGGTGTCTGCCTAAACTGTAGGAAGTGCATGGTCCATAAATATTCAGATTATTCAATCAAACAGAAGGCTGAATATTGGAAGATTTATTTGAATTGACTTGGCCTTAATTGTGTGTGTACAAAATCGATGGGGGATTCGACACATACATGTACATGTATACACATCCGCTGGCCATGAACCAATTAATTTGTTTCAGGCAAAGTAAGTCACCGTCTCCAATCTTTTGACTTCATGGCATGATGTAACAACTATTGACTGTTGAGAGTTGGGACACGTGTCTCTCCATTCTCGAGAACATTCAAACAAACGAACTGGAAGCTCCCAAATTGGAATATTCCGTTATTCAAAGTGACACAGCATTAATTAAGTGTGTACGAAACCAATCGGGGATTCGACGTGTATGCATACCGGTAATCAGTGTCAACCAATTCCTTTTTTCCCCACCAAAGCAAGCCACATTCTCCATATTTGGGGGGCTTCATGGCATGATATAACAACTGTTGACTGCGTTGAGTTCAGGCATGGCTTTACATTCTTGAGAACTGATAACATTACATACCTAACGTCCTTTGTTTTTGCTTGGTTACAACAACTCAAAGAGAACACAACTTTCACTTGCACTGTGCAAAATCTTTCTAGCAGGAGTTTTGCAACGGTTTTCTCCACTGTTCATCTTCCTTTTGCTACAATAACCGACATCAAAATGCCTCTAAACTTTTTTTCTTCAGAGGGGGAATTCATGAGTAGGCCCAGCTTGAAAACGTGGCATTGTCATTTCTAAATAAAAAATGAATAAATAAAGCTGGCGATTTCAATTCTTAAATAAAAAACTTCAACATATCTCCAGTGGGCGAATTGGGTACACCACTGATTGAGGGCTCCACAATACAGTAGGTACAGTACTGGTTGGCACACCTCGGTTGCTAAGTGAAATGCATGCATTGCATGTACAAAAGCCACGCCCCACGTCACAACGGTGTACAATGACTCATTGATCCTGCGTTGTGGCTTACTATCTACCCCTCTCCTCCTACCACACAGATCCTTCTTTCTTCAAAGGTCAGTAAAAAACCCTACTCTGTGTTTTCAACAGCCCAACTGGACTCACCTCAAGTCGGATACCAAAGACCTGTGCCTGAGAGATGATGGCTTCCAATTCATGCAGCCCTTGCTTGGCCATGGAACCATTTGGACCTTTGCAGTGGACCAGTGACTTCAGGGTACCAGCCACTTTGCAGTGGTGGCCTTCGAGCTCAATGTAGTCATACAGATTCTTAACCTAAAACACAAACATCACATGTGTGAGCGGCTACAAATAAGACAGGGACAGATCGGTATAGCTTTTGTGTCAGATTCAAGTTATCCCTATCCACTGTGCAAGTGCAAGTCCCTTGCAACCTAGAGGTTAAAAAAAAACATCTTTTGCAGTCCATTTCTTTTTTGGAGGGGACTCACCTGTTGTTCTGACAGTGACATGCTACAAAGCCTGGTCTGTATCTGAGTTTTGGTCAGTTTCTCTGTCCGCGCATCGCTGAGGATCTTGTAGACTTCATGGTGTTTATCCTCGGGAATACCACAGTGGTTTAGGACAGCTGTCAACAGGGAGGTGTGGTTGAGCCGAATGGAGTAGTTACGGGCCTGTGGAAATCATGGTACAAGTTACTTGGCGATAGGATAGTGTTGTAGTTAGGACCCACACAAGACCCAACAAAACTATCACAAGACACCACCTGACCATCACAAGACCCCACCTGACCACCACAAGACCCCACCTGACCATCACAAGACCCACCTGACCATCACAAGACCCCACCTGACCATCACAAGACCCCACCTGACCATCACAAGATCCCACCTGACCATCACTAGATCCCACCTGACCATCACAAGTCCCCCCCTTACCATCACAAGAACAACACAAGACCTCCCGCCAAGCACATATTTATTCCCATTCATAAATACCTTTTTTAGCCACAGTGTCAAAAGAAGTCAATGATAGATTTTCAACAATTTTGTTCTGGAATTTTTACTTTCATTTTTCAAAACATCCCCATCCATTTTATGGTTTATTCCTTGTGCAAGTAGTCCAGAAGAATCTCCACATATGGACTTGGCGTTTGTGTTGCTCGTTCTGCGTGCTGTATTGCACACAGACTCTTGACCAATAGGGATGGATTAAACTGTCTTGTATCCAGATGCCAGAGCTTTGTTACACAGCAGGCATTATCAAATCTGTGCTGGCATTATCAAATGTTAATACACGGTCAAATTGCACGTTGTTGAATAGGGAAACTGTCAGAGGTATTTATGAGTAAGTATCCAAACGCTATCACTTAAATCCACCATGGCTGACTGCTTGTTGCTGATCAGACTCCTATGTTGAATACATATATCTCTACATGATGGCACTATAGCCAGAGGAGCAACTTTTCACAATTAGAATGAACAGTAATTTGCTGGTAGTGCCATAATTTAACTGATTATAAAGTACAGACTCAGTCAAGGGGTTAACACGTCAAACCTTTGATGAATAAGCTTGTGCAATGACCTGTGACACTTTGCTTACTCCAATGTCACATTTTGGGGCAAAAGTGTAACAAAAATTAAGGTTTGTAAAACATTCTAGTTACAATATTAAAAATCACACTGCTAAGCAATGAATTCTACTGGGAGATTTAAGTATTGGGTAAAAATGAAGGCCTGTAAATAAAGCATAACTAGAAGGAAATATTTGAAGCACGTTAGCCTAAATGTAGACTGCAAACTTGCCAAAAGCATAAGTTGGATGGTTCTAAGCTAATTAATCCCACAGGGGAAAACAAAACCAAAACAACAAAATGAGGTACCCCTTTTGGAGCAATTCCTTAATAATGCTAGACGCTAAACCTTTAGGTCCAGGCTAGTCGCAGACTCACCTGCAGTGCTGGGAATTCGTTGATGATCTCTGACACGACATGAAGAATCTCAGCATCAGGGATTAAGCCCGCTTCGGAGGAGGCGACGATGTCAAAGGCACACTCTGTCAGCTCGCGTGGATGACAGCCATAGATCTGCCTCTCTCTGTACACACGCTCAATGCAATATCTGCAGCAAGATACAAGAAAGAAACACGTTGGAATTGCTCTGCTCAAGACTCAAGTACCCCGATAAGCGACATACAGAAAGGCTGAGGAGGCAGCTGAGCACTAACGGTGCTGCACTCTTGGTATCCATGTGAATGAATTACAGATTCAGGCAGGGATCCAGAGGGGATCAAATCTCCCCTGCTCTAAAAAAAAAAGGTGAGAAATGGGAAAAATACTAACATTTTAAAAAAAATGAGACATTGCAAAAAAATCTCTGGCCTGAACACCCCACTCCCGAAAAAATTCCTGGATCCGCCCCTGAGATTTTTGACCAAATCCAGAAAGTCAATTTTAAGAATGTTTTTTTTCTGGTAAAATTTTATTTTAGTGCACATTAGAAAAAGCAAACTGAACTCTTCATTTTAATGTAATGCTCAGTCTAACATCCTAGTGAAAATGGACATATGGAAGTGAGAAATGAAGAGGGTCCTTGACCAAACTTGCCCAAAGGAAGCTCCAGTTACTTATCCGATTGCCTCTTACTGTGAATTACTTGTATGTATTCAATGACAAATACTCTCAAACCAGCATGCACCTGTGCTGTGCTACCCCACTATTGTTGCTTGGAAAAGACATTCACTCTTTTACACATGGCGCCTCAAGTGATTGTAATCTCAGTGTGCAACGTCGAATGCCAAGAAAAGCTGCTGACTGACATGACTGAAGGAAACATTCTGCCTTGTCTAAGAGCAAATTTTTATACCACGCAAAATAAAGTCATAAAACAGTATCATTTGGAAGAGCTCTGTGCTTCAACTGTGTGAGGGAATCACAAAGACATTAAAACTGTTCATGTATTGAAAATGCTCACAATTTGAGGCCAGTGCATGCATTTCAGATTCCAGCCACCTCTGGCTACTGCAGCCAATGACATAATACCGGGGGTATGCGCATCACGCCCCAGAAACCGTGACATTACATTCATATTGGCATTCTCTGCATCTGGTCATTGGTGGGCTTTGTCAAAAGAAAAATCAAGCAGTATCTACTGTTCTTATTGAAACATACCAAAATACAACCAATATGAAGAGACAGATGACATAAAAATATTGGAAAGCAGGATGCAACTTCACCCTCAGTGATGGTATTCTTGCATTAAGATGACCACAATCAGGGCGTTACCATGTTTAAAGTTCCCTTTTTATTGCTTCGTGCTTTGTCTGACATTATTTTCATTTTGAGTTATCCATCAGCCCATGTAGTTTAACACAATGTACATGCAAAGGGTGCCCTGGAAAACATACAACTCCTTTGCTTAGTATATTGAATACTTAAATTAACATCTCTTTCATGAAAGCACATCTTTTCAAAAGCAGGTTTAATAGCCAATGTTGGATGAGTGTTATATCTACTGTCTTCTTCTCCAACACAACCAATCACATTTCATCACACAGAATAATACCCATATCCAGACTACTATAGACTTTATTCACGGGGCCTGCCATATTGAATTTGAAAGCAAGGTTAACTCTACATTTTTAAATGTTGAGAGTACAAATGAATAAAATGAAATTTCACGACCAATGTCCACCTGTCTACTCCGATGAATAATTTCAAGTTCATGATTGAACACAGATTCCGAAAATTACTGAAAGGGTGCCTTGGAACGCACGGAAAGATAAACAGTCTAGTGACATCCTAATCGACAGTTTGCAATATATACAACAGATTTGGGGAATAAGATCAAAAATGGCCTCTGCGTGAGTAGGGTCCATTCAGAATGTATGCCCAATTTTGTGCTTCAAACAGAATATCCACTTTATTCGTAATTTTAGACAACGTTCAATACAGGCATTAACAATGACATCCGCTCTATTCCAGTTTAGCTGTCCATCAGGGAGAAACCACATTTTAAATGACATCACCAAGGTTTGAGAGCGTCTCCAGCACAACTAGTGAATAATCCATTGTACCAGTCAACCCCAAAAAAATTCTGTTTCTCACATCTGGGCCTCAGTAATACTTTTCTGTCAAAGAATGAAACAAGAAAAGGACATAGTAGGGAGTATTGAAACAGGAAATTTTCACACACCTGCTTGATGCAAATTTTTGTCACAGTTCACTGACTGTAATACCTCCACTTCTGGTTGGATTCAAACTTAATACATGTACATCTGTTCATAAATCTGCACTAGTAACTAGCAAGTCCTGGGAAACATATCATTTTTCAGGAGGTTTACACTGGGTAAAATGATTAGAGGGCCAGTTAGGCTGGAGCTAGATGTACGAATTCTGGCTTCTGGATGTATATAAATTGGATAAATATTATACACAGTAATGACAGTGGTTGCTAGGTTACCAATGCTGTTGGTTGATTACAGTTCAGAGCAAGTTGGGCTACTGGGTCTCATTATGTGCAATAAAGCTAATATTTCATGGGCTTAACTGATGACCAATCACAATTGCCTATTTTATGGTTTCCATGGTAATGCATTATGTTGTAAGAGGTCTCCGACACATATTGGAGCTGCAAGGATACTGGTGCTTAAGAAAACGGGTATCTGAAGCAGGTGGGAATTCATCTAATTCACCTTCAATGTTTAACTTCATTTGCCAGAACCTGAAAGTCAAAATCTGTGATATTAACTGAACTAATAGCTTAAGAAGTTAGAAAGCAAACTGCCTAATGATGTTTGCAACTGGATGGCTTGTTCTGTGCAGTAGTGTATTCCTTATCACAGACGGCATCCTCGGCATCCATGCTGCCCATCCAGAGTGTCCGGATGGATGGACCCGATATTGCCGCTCCTGCTACATGGCATTCACCGAATCCCACTTCACTTGGCATCAGGCATTTCGCAAATGCGAAAGCCTGGGATCTCACAAGCTGACCCTGAATTCACCCGAGGAGTCCGACTTCACAAGTGCCATGATGCGGGAGGCTTTTCCAAATTATGGGGGAGGGTATAAAAGAGCATGGATAGGCTGTCAACAAGTAAGTAACAAGATGATGTGCTTTGGCAAGGGTACCAGTAGCAAGCATCTTGAGTTGCAGGACCCCAGCCTCGTTAACTGCATCGCCTTGACACCTTTCACAAGCTCAACCACTGTAGCACGATCAGGTACCAAAATGTACTACACTATATGTGAGAAAGAAGACAGCATTGTTGGCCAATGCAAAGCCCTTAGCATGTCCTACTGCCCGCGTGACCAGGCCTATCTGGTCATCCCATTCAAGCACCCAATACAGTGCTGTGTGGCTTGCTTCAAGGATCCTAGCTGCAGGTCCTTCAATCTTTGGAGAGGAATGTGCCAGCTTAACAATGACACGATGTCAAACACCGGTAATGACAACACTTCTCTGCCAATGGTAAACATACATGTACCAGAAGAAGGCTGTAAGTACTACGAATTACTGGAGTAAATGTGAACCTCAAATGAATTGAAAACTAATAAAAGTTGACCACTGCATGACTCAATGGCACATTTCATGACTCTCCCCAAATTAAGCAGTCCAGTTTGTCTCATCTAGGAATGAATATTTCCCAAACACAACCAAAAACACGTACTTTGCTTAATCACTGATGCTGTATTGTGAGTTCAAAGTCCACTCACTCATTTAACCATAGCTGCAGCCTTCTCACAGACGTATATACACCTTAGTATTTGAAGCAAACACCAAGTTTGTGCTGAAAACCAACATGACGGCCATGAGTCTGAGAAACTAGTTCGTTTTTTCCTTTAATATTCTACCGTTATCTGTGGATTTTTCCATAATTTTTGTTTAACAAACCATGCAAAGCTGTTTATCAATAGGCACACGTACAACTCAGAAAAAAAATGTTTCAAGTTTAAGGAATTACATCACACGAATGAAAATTACTCGTAATTGTAAACATCATGTATTAGTGAATATGGAATAGTAGATTCAGAGTAACTTGTTTTTCCAAAATTGTGAGATGTGGGGTGTAGCCAGTAATTGTGGGTAAAGTGCCAACTAGACAGAAGAACTGTAGAGTTTAATTCTTACATTCATTTGATTTCTTATTCTCAATCCTCCTACAATTTCAAAAAACTTATTTGCACACAACAAATATTCAAATATGTGCTTCTACAAACATTAATCCTGTTGACATTGTGGAAAATATCACGATCCATGTACATGTAGCTTCTGAAAACAATGATAGGAGATAAGAAGACAAAAGACTCACATTGAATGTTAAAAGCATTTTCGACAAAAAATGTTCTGAGTTCCCCTAAGGTTCTGAGCATGAGGTGGTGAAAAAAAAATTCAGCCAAATCAAAGTATCCATGGTGAACATGTGTGTGCTGCTGACCACGCCAAGAGGCACTCTCATGGTACATTTATGAATGTACGCTCAATCAATTTAATTTTAAATGAAAGCCAAAGGGGTCATGAAACTTAGCGAGATGGACTGCCTCACATTTGAATACTCAGAGCAAACCCCATTCTACAACAGTTTTTCCCCTCTCCTTTGCCAGAGTTTAGGAACCCTTTGATAGAAAAAAATTATTTCTGTCCTCCATATGTGAAATGCAATGATTTTAGGAAATTCCACCTCTCCCCAAAATGCTTAAACAATGTTTACCATTTAATTATTCACATCAAATATTCTGAAACGAGAACAAACGCTTAATTTTTTTCCCGGTAAATGCACTTGGGTGAGGTTTTTTCCGTACACATTTGTATGTTACAATGACACTGTGACAGTGTAAATTTCATAATTAGTTGGGTCACATAGAGTACAAATTGAAATGGAAAATTGAGGAACTTTCTCGGCGATATATTTTTTGAAGGTTATTTACTCCTTAGAAAAATTGAAAAAAATGGGAGCGCAAAAAATTTGAGAATTTGATGTTCAAAAAATAAGTGGAGTTTTCAGAATTTTCAGGACATTTCAGAGAACTGTACTGAATGTCACAGGTGTCTGTGGAGAAAGCAATATTATACATGTATATATGCAGTTTAGGAGGGGTTAGGAGAAGGCCCCCTTACCCCAATGGTATTGTACCTACCGGTAGTTTGTACATAAACTGTAGTTGGTGTATACACAAATGTTTGTAGTCAAAAGGTTTGTTTATTATGGCAAGAATGTGCATTGAATTTTAAATCACCAATTCCTTTCTTTTCTTCTCAATTCTGTGTTGAAAAAAAAAATCAGATTCTCAACCTGTATCGTTTTGGGTGCAATTTGGCCCACTTTCAGCCAACAAAAAGTTTTAATTTGGGATTTTTGCCCTGCCCGTTGGGCAAACAATCCAAAATTAATTAACATCTCCCCGGCGCAAAATCCATCTTTGGAAACAAAAAGTAAACAGAAATGGCGACACACTATCGTTAAAGGAAACAGAAAGTAAAAAAGCAGAAATTTGTCTTACCGTTTCAAATTGGTCACATTATTTCTGGCCACAAATCTGGCAAAAGGAATCTGAGAAAAAAAATTACAAGTAAACAAAAATTGTCACTACATCACCAAACTAGCTTCATGTTTTGCAATAACAAAATGGAAAGTGAAATAAAATGTCTACTTGAACGTGAACAATTCTGAATGACTACTTTAATCACTTGAATTCAAAAACGAAACTTCGGTTTGTTCTAATGTTCCACCCTGTTACTTGTGATTGGCCTTGAGCCTGGCCATGAGTCTGGCCATGAGTCTGGCCATGAGTCTGGCCATGAGTCTGGCCATGAGTCTGGCCATGAGTCTGGCCATGAGTCTGGCCATGAGTCTGGCCATGAGTCTGGCCATGAGTCTGGCCATGA